TTATTTTCAAGGCGAGTATGCCCATGCGGCTACTTCTTCGTGAAGCGAAAAATTTTAATATTTCAGAATTTTGTAGCAAAAACCATCGTTTAAGCCGAAATTTCGAGTGAAAAACCAGTTGGTTTCTTCAACTTGCCATAGAACTTCATGTTTTTCGCCGATATCTCAACGATAGTTGTCGATTATTATTATAGGAAGATCATTCCCTGACTTCCATTTCCACTCAGGACACCTCTGAAAGATGTTTGTGAAAATATCTCTGTGAGATACTTTATAGATTCAAAACAATATTATCCATTTTGGTGGCTAATAATAAATAATTTTCAATTATTGGGGGGGGGGGGGGGGGAATTTTGTACATTCCCCCCCCCCCCCACTTTCGCGGGTCCTGACTGTTCCTTTGACATCCTAATTCTCACTAAATCTGGGTGTGGGTTTGGCTATCGATGGAGATATACACCCACACCCACACCCACACCCACACCCACACCCAACCCACACCCACACCCCACCCACACCCACACACGCACCCACACCCACCCACACTTGATAGTCAAAGACGATAATTTGAGTTCGTATTCTTTGCATTAAAATGGCGATACAAAACTGAAAAAAAAATGTTGTCATCCTACAAAAAAAACAAACACCACTATTCAGATTGATGATGTAGTGAATAATTGAATTAAGAATCATAGTTATCAAAGTAAAGTTTAATTGAATACTAGGGCCATCGGGAAGGGGAAGTGAGGCTCGCCGCACTATCTTCCTCTTATCTCAAAAATGGTCTGTAGAAGATCGCAGAGAAAGTCGACACGTAAGCGATAAAATCGTTTTTTTTTCTCCACGGCCGGTTCCACATCTTAGGAAAATCCTGGTTAGGAGTCGGTTAAACTACTATAAAAAAATCTTTCATGCTTGAGTAACATTCATTTAATCATCACAGTTATTATTGGTAAAGAATTTGAATAGGACGAAAAGATCAATGAACATATTAGTTATTGAAAAAAATCTTTTTAAAAGAAAATCATCCCGAGTTGTCGTCGGAAGCAGATGAGAGGTCGGAGGAGTGATCGACCCACCATGTTGGAAAAATCTCGGTTTTACCCTGCGAACCTCAAACGCTTTTTGTTCTTCGTTTTTGAAAAATATGATCGAACCTCCAACTTGAAGGTCCGACTCCGTTCTACGACTCCGAAAATGTCAACCCCCAATTAAACATGTATCGAGACTCTCCGTCTCATCCTATATGGAGCTATATCGAATGTGAGATGTTACTAGATCACCAAGATGACGAAAAGCCCACAATCCGAGCCAGTACCATTCGTCGCAGCAAAAAGAACCTTGAAACTATGGTTTTCTGTCATTTTGAGTCAATATACAGCTTTATATAATATGAAATTGAGATCGAGACGGCCAAATGCCTAGTAGTTCGATCTCAGTACATGCGTAACCTCAATCCTGGACTGCTTCGCGACAGCTCTGAAACCATCCTTGTCAAAATTTTGAGTAAAACAAAACAATATTTGTACTAAACTTCATTCGTTTCGTTTCTTAGTAGATTAAAGTTTTTGATTTGATCTTTTTCTAGAACTATAAGATATTTTACCAATTTCATTTGTATTAAAACTTTTATTTCAAACACGAATCACGTGCAAATACTAAAGCAATGGAAAAACTTTGTTTTTTTTTACAAGACTTGGTCTACGTTGAAAAACTCCTATACTATGTTTAGCTCCAAACTTGTCTGGGAAAATATTCAGTTCCGTATACATTAAGCTTCCTAGTTAAATCAACACGTCTTTTCTCGGATTCGTTGATTATCAATGATTTCTTTATTACATCGAACAAATTCTATTCAAACATGATTTTTGTCATTGTTATTATAAATAATCATCGAATAGAAATTTATTTATGTGAATTTCTTGATCATGAATCACTTTTATCTTTTCAATTCGATTCATTGATTCGAGTTCATTCGATAAGAAATGATGATTTACTCGTCTTAACTTATTACAGTTCATTATGTTCGATTGTTCAACAATCAAATTCTGATCAAATCATTGAATTCAAACAAACAGATCATATATCATTGAAAATTTCCTGTTCAATGATGTTCAGTACAATTATTACATTGGATTCGAGAGAACATCTTGTTATATTTGCTGATAATTTACAAACATATCAATATTCATCACAGACAATATTTCACATCGACATATTTGAAATCTATTTCAACAGGACAAAATCAAAATTTGATTCTGTTACATTTTAATACTAGATCTCTTGTATTATGTCAAATCGATTTAGACAAATTCAAGAAAAATGGATCAGTGAAAATCATTCCATTGGATATAGTTGATTTATTTTGTTTGAAAAAGAATTGTTTAGCAATAGTGAATAATGAACAAAATCGAATCAATTTACTTAATATGCATTCACAAATATCTAACAAATCTATTGAATTAGAAAATGAATGTGAACAGATATGTTTACATGAATCAGCGATGTATATTTTGGTTCTAATCAAACCTCGTATTCTATATATGTATCGTATTGACGATGGTCGACAAATGGCTAAATTATTTCTCTATGATTTTGTTTCATCGATGAGAGTCAACGATGATTTTGTTGTTTTAGCTATGAATGATCGACGTTTATTGACATTAATGATTGCCGATCCAAACAATCCGAATGTACGAGAAAAAATTCAAGCATTGTCTAGCAGGTAAATTCATGTGTGTGTAAATAGAAAATCTTATTTTCAACAATGAAATTTGAAGAAAATTGTTGAATCAAATCTTTTTAACATCCAATTTTGATTCGAAACTTCGAATTTTTCTCCTGAATCACAAGCTTGGTGATTTTTGGACGCAGATCTTTGATTCAATTCATCTATAGTGGCAAAAGAATAAAGGGCATATAGTAAGTCTTGATCTACTCAGTAAATATCATTTTTTCTTCATTTATCTTTGTTAGAAAAGACTGATATTTACAGCATATATACTAGATATGTCTAGCTATCATACATGAGAGTTTGAGTTCTTCCACTCTTGTTTTTTTTTTACACAGATACTAACATCCTAAATTTTCATAGAAAATGTTCAAAGAAAACAAAGCCACGAACAGAGTTTAATAAATCAATCATCTAGCTTAAAAGAAAGGACAATAAATCTCCATTGAGATCAATAACTTTCTTTAGTCGATACCGTATTTGTTCCATCATTCGTTTACATTTAGTTGCAGTGAACGTTTTCCATTGTTTTATAAAATTGAAAATAATTCGATGCATTCCATGACAGATTTAAGTTTTCCAAGACCAGTACATTGTGAAGTTTGAGTCATAATACTGCATTCACTAACGTCACTTTAGTCTTTCTGAAATTTACTTTTCCCTTCTAATCTCTCGATCCCATACACTAAAATCACCAAAGAAATATAGATTTTCCAATATTCTATGATGGTTAGAATGCAAATAGAGCGAAGAACTATAATTTTTTTCATCATCCATATGCTTTTGAATAATTCAACATTTTTTTATGAAATTTTAGGATGTCAATATCTGTGTAAAAACAAGGGTGAAAGATCTTAAATTCTCATAATATGATAGCTAGATATATCTAGTATACTTCTCGCTTCTGTTCCATCAGCAGGCATGGTTTTGTTACATTGTGACACCTTCGCAGAAGTTAAAGTGTGTTTTGATTAAGAAACAAATTATCAAATTTGAAGCTGCTACGCGAAATAGAAAGCAATTTGAAACTTGATTTGTAAAATAGTATAGCACTCTATTCTGCAGTCTCCTATTCGAACACACTTCACGCGAGTTTACTCATTTTTTTTCTGTTTTCTCGTAACACAGTGAGAATTTTTTGACATAAATATGTGCTCCAAAGAACTTCACGTATATGCCTGGTATGAATACGGTATAATACTACTAGTTTCTGACTATCGTGTCATAAGTTGGAATGCAGCTGGTAGTTAGAAAACGAAATAAATCTTATATGAAAGTTTGAATTTATTGAGATCTAGATTGATTTTTGAATTCTAACGAATATTTTTCTCTATTTGAGTTTATTTCAATTTTTTAAACAATTTTATTTATAAACCAAAATTACCACAATATTTAAGTGAAACATAAAGCATGAAAAGTCAAAATGTTTTTAATTTAAGAAAAAAAGGCCTTTCCAATGATTAATATTTACACATTAAATGAAATCAGTAGATATGTAGGTATTTTCACGATTATGTTCATAATTGGTTATTCTATTTAAAAATTTTTATGATTGTATCATAAGAAATCTCATTTTACTTGATTATACATGAATATATTGATTGTCTTTGAAGAAATGAACAACGAGAAGTTCAATCAGCAACAATCAAACTTGTACAACATATCGAGAAATGTGCTGATATGAATTTGAACAATGATAATGTTACTACTGAAAACATTAGTGTTAATCAAACGGATGACGATGATGATGATGCTAGGAGCGCAGGGAATACACGTTGCTATAGTATTTTTTGTTATGTTCAAAAACCTTTTTGAACGATTTCATCCAGATATTATGGGTGATGCTCCAAATGTGGATTCAGAATCTGTGGCACAAGTTTTGAACAATCAAGAGTTTACTGATCAGGAACCGTTTGATCATGATTCACATTTAACAACAATCGAACAACCACAACACCAAACTGACTATGATTTAGATACTATTCGTCAGAAAATGTTCGAATACGAACAAGATCAATTGAACGGTGTTCAAATGGCCAATGCAGGCAAAGAAAATTTAAAAATTATCAACTGTTATTCAGTTACTTCGACTACATGTAATCTTCTTTGATCGAATAACTATGTTCACTTTATTATTATAAATGAATACGAATAGTTTCTTATAAAGATAATATCTATATATTCTGGCATTTGAAAATACATAGAACTTTATTTGTCGTTCATATGGTAATAATCACGAGCGTTATATTCATAATCAAAGCTTTTTCCCATTGGCTTTCAGACGAATCGGGAAGAGTGCATCAACCATTGTCATATTCATCTATGCCGAATTTTTCTCAATGAGACTGACGCTTGATAAGAAAAGATAGAAAAAGAGTCAAATGTCTTTTATTAAAGAGAAATTTTGATTTCGAAAAAAATGCTGACTAAATAACTCGATCGAAACGAAATATTCGTTCTTCTTCGAGTGATTTCGATTCTTTGATCGATTATTATTCTATTGAGTATTCCCCGGACTGAATAGTCTATGGTCTGCACGACGGTAATTAATTCCTGCTGTCTATGAAGTAATACACAGTACGGACGAGATAAAGCAGCAAAATTTCGATTTTTTTTCCTTTTTGGATTCTCTTCATTACATCATCTTTTGACTCTTTTCTATAGCGTAAGTAAAAACAACTGTAATTCTCCGATGATTTAAATATCGTTTGAAGAGACTAATACGGAAGACAGCTGTAACTCACTGAATGATTTGAGTTCTTTGGATGATGATTTTGTTAGAAAGGAATTTGAATCTTTAAGTTTCAAGTAGAAGATCTTTATTCCTTGGTATGCCATTCGAGAAACTGAAAACTAGTCCGAAACAACACTCAGTAAAGTATTCGCAGAGCAAATTCCATAATCACGAGCTCCAGAAATGGAAAGATATGTACACATCGTCAGGAGACATTGTGCTAGTTGCTATGAGAAACTCAGGGAACCACAATCAAGGGAAGTGAGCCTCACGACAGCAGGAAAAATAAAAACCTTCAGTTCTGATTGTGAGGAATTTTTTGTTTTGTTTGTTTTAATGGGAAACATCACGCTATACAATGCATGATTCAAAGTATAGCGAAGGCAGATCAGATGACACATTATGTTTAATCTAATACGTAAGAAAAAAAAGGAAAAGAAAATATTTTGCTGCTAAGTTTCTTGGTAAGATATAGTGAGATTCACCTGTGGATCTCATCACCGCGAATGGGTTAATACGCGGCTTCTGAATACTTGACTAACATTCAATGGAGTGTATATCGCAAGGGGGAAACGGTGGATTCTGGATTCCCGGGATTCCCAAGATTCCCAGGATTCCCGTGAGATTCCCTGGATTCCCATTGGATCCCCAGGATTCCCATGGGATTCCCAGGATTCCCGAGATTCCCATGGGATTCCCAAGATTCCCGAGATTCCCATCGGATTCCCAGGATTCCCAAAGGATTCTCCAAAAAAATTTCGGAATTC